TATATATATATATAACGAAAAAATAAATGAGGATTTTTTTATCTCGCTGATAATGAAACCATGTAACTTCGAAAGTAGTTTAGCTGTAAAATTTATGTACCTATCGCGCACAAGATTTCTTCTATAAAATGGAACTTTATTTTTGGCGATAGTACAAAGAGACACAAGAACAATTTAATTCTCTCTGTGGAATTATCTTTCCTATCCGAATCTCACTTAACAAAAAAATTTATACGTTCGATATTTATGTTGTGATCGATTAATTTATAATTTGGACGATCTTTTTCATCGTCGTATCATCACAAATTTTTCACGTACAATTTAATTTCAAACCGATCTTTTATTTATAGAATTTTCTCCTATAAAAATATGTTTTAATTAAAAAAAAAAAAAAAAGTGGATTTTATTTATATTTACTGTTTGCCACTTGTAACCGGCTTGTTCCGCGTGATACTTACCTCGCGAACATTGCGACACTCTCCGGAAAGATGGGTTAGGTATATTCTTAGGAGGTTTAAGTTAAATTGAAGCGCTCTTACCTCGAGGAAATGTTATCACGGGCGCCGACAACAACGCCAGGGGCTGTTCATCGAAATGGGATTACTTTTTTATTAAAGGGCCGCGTGATACGCATTTAGGTTTCACGACATATAGCAAAAATTAAGATCAGTCTCTTCTGCATTGAACCGATTATATAAAACTTTAAAAAATATTACGCCATTTTTCTCTTTCTCCCTCCTTGTCTCTTTCTGTTGAGTCATAAAATTTATTTTTATCTTCGTATTAACTTTTAATCTTGATATAAATTATGAAAATGATTTCCACATTGTAATATAGCTTATGTATACGTATAACATTGAATAATATCTTTATCAATTTGTATTTATTAATAATTGATGTCTCTTTATTAATGAATAAAATTGAGAGCCTCTTTGAAATTTCGCGATAATAGGAAAAGAATCAATAAGAATCAGATCGCACATGTTTGTACGTAAACATTTACGTCGATATGTATTATATAATTGCTTCTGTAATAATCTTTTCTTTCATTTATTTTGCTTTTATATTGATTGATAGATTGCAGAAACAACAAACGTTTCAACATAAATATTTACGCATCAGGATCTGCGATCTGGCTTTTTTATAATTGGACAGATCATTAGCGAACCGGCAACTAAGATTTTATTGGCCCTTCTTCAGCTCTTTTATTCCGCACATTTTTTAATACAAAACTAAACTGATAATGCCATCGTAATTCATCTAATTGGACTTTTTATATTAAAAAGATATTCATACGTATTTGATTTTAAGTCGTAACTCTTTGACTTAGAAGTCGACTCTGAAATAATCAATTACATTCCGAAAGCGAGAGCTCTCAAAAAAGCCTGCGATCGTCTCGAGTCATTCTTCACCACCGGTTAGTTGCAGAGATTTATAGACGCGCGAAAAGGATATCGATCGCGTGTAGACCCATCGTGTATTGTTAGTAATTGGAACATTTATGAGCCAATCAATCACTTCTGCCGTTGCAGTCCCCCCTATGCTATGGATACCGCATCAATTGGTCGGCGCGCCCTTGGGCTACTCCGTTACGCTGGAATGCTATACCGAGGCTCATCCAACTTCTTTGAATTACTGGGCGAGGGAGGATGGTCTAATGATTCACGAGAGCACTAAATATAAGGCTACGTCGTCGCCCGACAGGCCCTCTTACAAGACGCATATGACGCTCACGATATCCAACATACAGGTGAGTGAATGCATCGTGATGTAGTTTTGTCAGTTTGTTTCTTTCTAACATAGTTTATTCAAATTTTTATAGAAATGACGTATTTATATAGAAATAACTCGCGCGCAAACAGATTTTTTTTGCCCTTGCCGAAAAGAAAATTATCATTAATAGTACAATGATAAAATATACGGCTTTTTACCCTATCTATCGATATATTGCGCGAAAAATTGAGCGTTATAAATTTTCTAGCGTGTTTAATAAATTAGAATTGCACGATGATAATAGCGAAACATGACGTAATCGCTGTAAAAAAGCGCGTGGCTTAATCATGTACACCGCGTTAAAATTCACGACTGGATAATGGCACCATATCGTAAATCACGATCGTGACGCGCTGACGATGAGCGCGATAGATGAAAGTAATAAAGTACTCGTTTAAACTATATACACATGTGTAAAATAAAAAACAAAAAAATTTTATCATTACTCAACAATGATAATATTTATGTTCCAGAAAATACAACATAGTGGCCATTAATTGGCATGTAAAAGATACACTTATTATACATATTTCATTAATTATAAAATTGAATTTTCTGATTGAGATAAATTTATAATTATAAGAAAAGAATAAAAGTCTCTCCTTATTTCAAAGTTTTATAATTAATGAGAGATATCTTGTGTTATATACATATAATTACTTCATTAATTCTTGCAAGTCACATAGTTTTTTTATAATTTGTAATTTAACATATTCTTTTTGCTTTGTTTCTGGTCACATATAGGTCATAATGTCTTGTCGCAATTTTAGCTGTCTCAAAGCACTTGAAAAAAATAATCACGTACAAGAAAAGTTAAATAAACTTTTAATATTTTTTTATCGATTAAGATCTTCGGGATATTCTATCGTTGAAATATCCGATAGGGTTAAAATAATCTATATGTGATTTTTAAGGATTAAAATCTTCTCGCCTTTTACTAACTTGTTCATTCGATTTATTTTTAGAAAGACGACTACGGTAGCTACAAGTGCATCGCCAAGAACCCACGTGGAGAAACCGACGGAACGATTCGTCTGTACAGTAAGTGTCTCGTTTTGCTTTCGTGTTGCCCCGAGCCATACCATCCCGCGGTATATCGTTTACTAAGGTAATGACGGTTCGTCGTGAGCTGTTTGGCACGTTTATGCCGTATGACTGTCATTCCTCGCTTGTTTACGAAGTACGACGAAGACGGTTTTCAACCAACTACGTAATTTCTACGGCACACCCGTTGACGGATACACCCCGCGGTTTGTTTCTTCGCGCAACGCGTTTAGGCGGCACAGTTTGACACGGTTAATTCCGCGCTCCCGTTACGCGATCTCTTCCTCCTAGACAAATATACCCATGTTAATTACCTCCGCCTAATATTTGCCAACAGATCGCGATTCTTGGTGGCACTTCTCTCGAATTAAATCGCAACGTATTAGTTGGCTACGGTTTAATGCGGCTGATTAAATTTAGGTTGCTCCAATATCGTTATTATTGATTTTATCTTTTTACAATATTATTTATTACTTTCTAATGCAATGCATGTTTTTAATAAATTGGGAGATAAACATTTCATACAATAATAAATTTCAAGCTATGATGAGACACGTTGGAAATATAGATGTACGTAACTCATGAAAAAAAAAAAGAGTATGAAAATCGGGATATGTAGAAAGCAAATAGAATCAATAGCGCTTACAAAAACGGATGTGGGGACGAGATCACTCCATTAGTACGGACCGGTTTTTCGCATTAGCAACATTCAAATGAAGCGAACATTTAGCATAAGAGACTATCAATAAGGAAAGAGAGATGGCGAAAGGTAAATCTGCCTGGTTTGTTTAAAAAACAACGAGAACGAAAACGACTGTCTGATAAATGCAATGATGTAAATAATAATTGATCCGGTAAATGATGTTTGTCTGATTATCAACTTTTCTACTAATCTCTGTGCGCGTAAATATTGAATTAGACATTTTTTTGTCTAGATTATTTATACACGAAAAAAGTTATGCGAGAGAGAAATCGATATTTCCAAAAATAATTTTACATAATAAAATCTATGTATTTTTTAAAAATATTTCTTCTTAACTAAATAACTTCGTATATTTCTGCTCCTTGAATTTTTCAAATTAACTATTAATAAATAAGATTATAATACATTATCACGGCTTTCCATTAATCTTTCAAACGTATATTATTTCTCGTTTCCAATGAGATGACGAGTAAAATATATTTAAATCGGAGAAAATTCAAAGTATGAAACGAAATATATGTGACTCTAAACATAAAGAAATAACCATCGTTCATTTAAGAAAATAATATCACAATAAAATAATAATTTATAACTTTTATTCTCTGCCGCTTCGATTTCTCTTTCGTGTGAATGTATCGTGAAAAATAATCTCTTTAAAAAATAAATAACTATCGTTTCAATATACTTACGTCAATCACAATAATAAATATGTGACGTGTATTTTATATATTACTATAATATATACTAGATTTAATTAATTGCACTACCTAATAATCCTAGAAAATAATCTTGAATATCATTTAGCACTTGTTGCAATTGTACTTCGAGAGATACTACGACGATACACGCATGACAATAAAACAAAATAACAAATGACAAAGAAACAATCGCCTGTAAATAAAAAAGCCGAATTTTTCATTTATACAACATGCTGTTATTAACGAAAATCCGTGAAAAATCTCTCACAACACTGTATATATATTAATAATTAATTAAAAATTCAAGAAATAATCCGCATGCTTTTATTTTATAGCACATTAAATATTTAATGTTAAATATTACGTGTGATGAAACAAATTAATTGTCATACTGTATTCGACGCTTGTCTTTGCAGCGTATAACGCGCTATTGTTTACATTCCGTGGCCTTGCTGTCACTCATGCGTAACTCGAACGAGTTGACACGAACCGCTTCGTGTATCATTACATAAATGTTGGAAAAGTATCGGAAGGTGCTAAAAGCGATTATTATGATTATTACAGTTATTGGTGTAATCAACTGTAGTATCGTTCTAAAACTACAACGTATATTATATGTTAAATACGTTACGTGATTACGACAAATAACGCGTGATTTTTGTCGTGCAATTTTGCGATCAATATTTCCCTTTCGTATGATCATAATTTCCGCATTATTCTCCTATCACAATATAATGAGGTTCGCGTTGTGTACGATTAACGATTCACGAGTGTTGTGCAAAGTGGCTCATGGCCGTCGTGTTCTGCTAATTAGTACGCGCGCGATCGTAATTAACTGTATTTCCGTGAGTGAGTGTGAGTGCCATGAAGGAGCAGACAAAGATGAAGAGAGAAAGCTAAGGAGGACATTAATGATGTAACCATAATAGCAAATGTAATTGATAAAAAAAATATTTAACTTGTTAATTTAAAAAAAAAAAAAATATTTAAGATTCAGTCTTTTACGCGCGGATGGTTCGAAAATTGTAATAAATAGTTCAATTTTTTTAAATGTTGCAGATATATGATTCGTATCGTGACGCGGACAAAATTTTTCAAAAATATCTTTCTGACTACATATGCTCATAAATGACATTTTCTCTAAAGAGAAAAATCATTTTTGTTTATCGCAACTACAATACATCACGATGGTAGATTATCGAGAAAAGCATTTCCACGAAATCCTATATTCGTCGGACTATCGGCGTGGCATGGCGCAAATGCTGAATTATTGGTATCCCCAAAAGGGATGCAGGATTAACCGCGCGCTAAGAGTCATGCCCCATAATCAAATGCGTTGCGGAGTTGTGTACAAGCATCGTTATATATTCCGCTCCGAGACGCGTAATTGCTAATTATTGCAGACGCTTAGCAGCAGCGAAATTGACTTGTATCTATGATTCTTGTGACGCATTTTCCGTTTATCGTGATATTCATATTAATATAGTATATTACAATGCTCTCGTAAATATAATGACAAAATTGAAAAAATAAATATTTTTAATAATATAAAATCTTATAATAAAATATATATATTTAATAAACTGATGTATCTCTCATAAAATTTTTAAAACACTGTCGAAAATTAATATTCTCATCTCATGCGAGGAGAAATAAACGAGTAAGGAGAGGAGCGCGCGCACTTTTTCGTCCATTTAAAGTCGTTGATTTGGAATCGACTGTGACCATTCCATTGTTCCATCTACCAGCGAGAGGATGGGAAGACAAAGAAGAAGAAGAAGCCAGATCAGAAAGGAATTCGAATTTCTCGGAGCTTCTCCAAAGGGGAAGCGGAAAAATAACTTCGGAAAGTCCGGCCAAAGGCATCGGACAGGACGGTCCAGAGGAGAGAAGCAAACAAACCTACCTCGTACAATACAGTCGGCAACAAAGTCGACGGGGGAGAGTATTAGTAACCGAGAATCCGTCGCGTTTCTGGGAGAGCGAAAAGGGTCGGGCCGGGTCGAAATTAAGTGGCCGTAGTTAGAGATATGTCGGGCGAGTTTTATTAAGCGGCATAAAAAAGAGATTTGTAGACTGACTGAAGGAGACACTAGGCGGGATGCCCCTTTTCCCCGGAGGTGGTCGTCCTGCGCGAAGTGAGGACGATTCCGGTCGCGGGGCTCGTCTGGCGGCAGTAAAGAATAGGGGAGACAAGCGAGGGACGCGCCGAGATATGAATTTATTATTAAGGACCGCCTAAGGGGCAAAGTACCCCTGTTTCTTGATATCCGAGCTCGGTACCCGTGTCTTACCTCGTCTTTTCTCTTGACGCCCCTTTTTTCCATCGTTCCGCGCGCGCTCCCTCCCACTCGTCCTCGCGAGGAAGCTCGAATTTCTCGGCTAATTTATTCCATAGTCGAGTCAAACTGCTATTTGTAGCGGCGTTGAAGCGCGGGCTTAGTATGCGAAGAGTGACGGAAGAACAAGGCGAAACTTACGGCAGTCGCTCGGATAGTAACAATATCGTATTCATTCGGCTCCCCCGTCCTCCCCGTCCACCCCCGTGATTTCCTCAGACCGAGCATCGTATACATAATGCAACGTCCCCCCCCCCCCTCCCGCTCGCTCCGCCGCGCGCCGATTCAACCGTTCTAAATGTCGCTGCTAAGACGTGGATTTAATAAACGGCCGTTACGCGGCTACTTTGTCGACCTTCATAATGTCATTTTTCGCCTCCTTAGTTCTCGGACATATTTGCTTATGCATGAAACATTGCCTAGAATTTGTCTTGGGAAACGTAATAGTGGTATAAACGTAACGACTCTTTGTTTCTTCCGGTATTTAAAAGTCAATTAATCTCATTGATGTAAATCTAAATTCTTATTATAATTTTTGGCAAAATGTGTCGCTCTAACAATGCGTGTTACATCTTCAAATCGCATTTTTATATTTCTAAGTTTTTGAAGTTCGAGATTGTAAAGCGTATATTCGCGAGACGATTACAATGTGACTTTCGACCGTAAAAATCCCTTAACGCTTAACAAGGTCTTAATGAAATTCTTGCAAACGGAAAACTTGTGTCTCAAATTCCTCCCGCAAATCCATACTGAGTTGTCGGACTTTGAGAACTTTCGCGGTCGCGGTATCGCGGCACGCAAAGTTGTACGAGCTTTTCATTTGGATTTGAGAATTTCACTAACGAATTCTTCAGCGTAAGATGCAAACGAAGCCGTGGCCCGGCGTGACTTTGATAAATTTGTTGTGAAACTCTTTCTGCACATGCATTCCGGACGCCGGTAACGCAGCGGCACTTAGCAATTTCACCGTTGGAATTATACGGAGGAACGAATATTAACGAAAATCTCGTTTATATTTTGAAACGTTGCCGCGACAAGCGTTTTCTCGCCGAATTTTTCCGCAGATAGTATCTAACGACGTTATATTCTTAACTTATCCGCGAGAGAGATGCTGCGAAGATATATTCATTCCGACTGTTTTTCAACTATATTAGCACTTGTTATATATGCGTGTGTCTCTCGAACAATTTCATGAATATTGCAATATTAGTGGATACAGTTTTGTTAATTGTTCGATAGCGTTGGTTATACTATTAT